TGGAACATGGAGCCAATGATTGGTCCTGTCTAGAGAGGTCACTCCCGGAGGTCCCAGCCTCCAAGCACCAGCATGGCCTGCACCTACTCAAAGGGGGAGGTGGCACCTCCTGTTTGGTTGTCACTCAGGATGGTGCTTCCCCCTGGGTGTGTCTGGAAGTGACTGGCTGCTGCTGCTTCTCTGGGGAGGCTTCAACTCCTGAGCTGAATTGGCCTGGCTGGATAAGGTCAGTGCTGGGGGATGGCACTGCACTCGTGGGTGCTCAGTGCGAATCTTCTGCCCTACGTACACAGGAGTATCAGTTGTCTAGTCTCTCGCCTCATTAGCCCGCTGGAGCCTGTGGGGATTGGATGTCACTATGCTCCATGCTGTGACTATCCCATGATCTAAACTGTACAGTGAGGGGACTGCCCCCTCCCCAGGGCAGCCTCCCCCATCCACCAGGTTGCTTGTCTGTCTCCTGCCCTCTCCTGTCTGCCTGTCCCTCCTGCCCTGGGTGTCTGAGGCTGGGGATGGGAACAGCTCACCTGGGTGGAGGAGAAGCCCCCGTTGGGATTCTGCTGCTTGCTGATCCACTTTGCAATTTGAGCTGCTAATGACAGGTCGTCTTGGGATGGCACCGGCTGAGTGGTGAGGTAAGCGAGGAGCACGTAGGACGTCATCTCCACCTCGGCGGAAGGAGCACGGGGGTGAAAGAAGGGGAGATCAGCTTTCGGCTCCTTCCCGGGCCTCTGCCAGTGACTGGAGCCATCTGCCGTGGGAGAAGGGAGAGGGTGGGCAGGAGAGAAGGAAATACAGATGCTTAGTACATGCCATTTCTAAGGGGGTTATTGACCTTCTGCTGCTGCAGGTGGGAGAACAGACCCCCCCCGTCCTCGTTTGGCATATTGACATGAGAAGTGAAAGGATTAAATAATCCCTCACTTGCTGGTCTAGTGGATTTATACCTTGTGGTACGAACTCTCAGCAACTAATCAGGCTGCCACCTCTGTGCCTACATCCCCTTTATCTTATGAAGGCACATCCCAGGAATGGACAGTAGCAGCCTTTATTGGGCTCTTTGATCCAAAAAGTGTGAGGTCGCTAAGTGGCCCCAGGCGCTCAAGGCCGAAGGGTTACAGCAGTGACGGTCACACCCCACTCCAGCGGGGTGAAGAGCCCATAAGTCCTTTTCTTACCAGCACAGCCCCAGTTCTTCCTGGGATTTCCTGGGACACCAGGACCTTAATTTGGGCCCCTCCGGAATGATCTGTTTTTTCATTTTATCAGTCCAAACATCAGGCTTCTCCTCTTTGTTTGTCTGTTGCTATAGGGAGCAGAT